CTAAGAAATAACACGCGAAAAAGTAACAAATCCTTCGAATTGCCGCGGCAAAAGATCTCTTTTTGAGAAATCCGTGTTGTGATGGATTGATAAGTTCATGTTCTAGTAAGTTGTCTGACACTTGTTCTTTAGCCACCTACCCCACTGTTCGTGATATTACCGGTGTTATATTGATAGGTCTGTAGTTGCATGCACTGGTTTTGGCTCCTGCTTTGTGCCTAGGTAATATGTATGTGGTTTTCCACACTTCAGGATAAGTTCCAGTTTCCAATGACAGAGTAAATATTCTAAGTAACGAGACTACCATTTCCGTGCTACCATTTTTGTATATGACAGGGTGACTCTAAACTTTAGGCACCCAAAACAACCTTGAGAACGGATGACCTTGAGCAGGCAATCATCTAACTTGCAATGGATGCTGTACATCGTTTGCGTTTGTTTTTGATTACTGTTTAGAGAACGGGCTGATAGCGAGATCTAAAACTTGCCAGTGCGGAGGTGTTATGCATATACAAAGATACACGAAATGCATAGATGGTTATGTTTACCGTTGCAGGGAGTGCAGATGCAGAAAATCGGTACGAGAGGGTATGTAGTTATTTTTCAGTTTATAGATTCCTTAGATACATTTTTCTCGAAATCTCATTTACCTCTAACGAAGATACTGATGATGTGTCACAACTGGGTTATAAGAAGACCAGTAACAGCAACGGCATATGAGACTGAAATGTCAGAAGTTTCTGCAGTACAGTGGTACCAATACTGCAGAGACGTGGCCATCTGAAAAAACGGATAAGATCGGTCAACGGATCAAGAAATCCAATGATTTACAGTTATCTCGACGAGTTTATGTATAGGAATTGGTTTAACATGACTTTAAGGACTCCTATGTCTAATTGGGACCTTTTTGCAACATATTCGAGAACGCTATCCTTTGTAACTATATTTTAACATTGCTTTACTTGTATATAAACGGTTTATTAAAATTATGCGCCGTTCATTTTGAGCCTTCTGATTGGTTAAAATTGTCCTTGTCAAGGTTATTTGTCCGTTCGTTCGTTTGGGTTCCTAAAGTTTAGAGTCACCTATGACAGATGTTATGTCGTCTGTTCCAGTACTACCATTGGACTTCCATGTCTTAATCGCTACCTAGATCAGACGAAACAAATCGGCCAAAGTGAAATCAACTAGACCACGCAAATGTCCTCAAGGTAAAGCTGGAGGCGCCACTTCAAACAGGGGATATGCCATATCAACGCCCTTATATTTTGTATATTGAAGTCTATTTCGCCTAATTTGTGGTTATTTTTGCAGGTCATCTGGGAATTTGGGGTCGGGTTCACTCTGGTATCATTGCAAAACCACTCACTGAAGAGTTCACTTATAGCCTGGGGATCATTGTATATTATACTTTTATGTACCAAGCTGCTTACATTATTGTCTTTACTGCTTTGTAGACGTTTCTGCAATATTCTACAAAGTTCCTGATTTTTGGAGTTACTCACAAGCGCTTTATTTTCTTCAAGTTGTGACATCATTTTGTGTTTCTATTAAAGCAGTTTAAGAGTTTCATTTGTTTGGTTTATCGCATTAAATTCCTTAAATATATGGTATTTCCTTTCCAATTTCTTTATTTTTACTCGCGTTTTGCGGTCTATAAATGGAGTTGGTGTCCTTAGAGCAGATTTTAGGGGAGCGATTGTGTCTCTTGCTGAGCCAATTGTTTTGTAGAAAATCCCAAGTGATACTTCTAAGTTATTGTTGATGAAGTATTCTTCCCAGTCAGAACTTCTCAACAGATATGATAGGAGTTCCCAATCAGCATTCTTATAGTCCCTATATTGATAGTGCACCGGGTAGTTTTTAGGTGTGTATTTAGTTGTTAGTCGGAGGGGTAGCGTGCAGTACAATATGTTGTGATCACTGTTATCGAGTTTTTTCCCACCCATATCGAGATGGGCTCTATTTTATGACAGAGGATTAAGTCGAGAGTATTTTTGTTTCTTGTAGGGAGGCGTACGCAATGCTTCCATCCGCCTATGTATATAGCTTGTAGTAGCTCGTCATGGATTCTAGGACCTGTAAGGGTATCCCATTTTACTCCAGGTAAGTTGACATCACCACAGACTCCTTTGTAGTCGAAGTCTAGCGCAGCTGCATGCTCTAGTCTTTCTCCAATAGTTATATCAGTCATTTCGGGGCAATTAGAGGGCCTGTATATGCATCCCACGAGAATTTTCTTTTCTTTTTTGGATACTTATCCACCTAGATTCTGGGAGTTTGTCAATAGTTGTGTTATTGAGTTAGTGGATTTAGAGGCATATATTAAGCAACCGCCTCCCCTTTTCTGAACTCTATCGTTCCCATAGATGTCGTAGTTGTCTTTTGCTAGCTTTCGTCAGGGATATCAGAATTAAGCCTGGTTTCAGTCGCCATTAATAGTGTTGGCCGTTCTATGTATGCCAGGCAGCGAAGCGATGTAATTTTATTAGGGAGAGAGCTAACATTCAGGTGTCCGATCGTTAGTAAACCAGAGTTATTGGAGGAGAGGTTAACATGGTTACTTGTTTCTATCCCTACGTTATGTTTAGAGGGGCTCTGAGGTGAGACAGAGTCAGTGTGTGTACTATTTCCTGGATGAATTGTGCAGCGAGTGGGGCTATTGTTTGCTGCATCGGAAAATAATCCTGTTGCATATTTTGACTTTTAGCATCCATGGGTGGGTATCTGCGTTCATTTACTGGTGATGTATAGTTTCCCTTGCAATTTGCATTGTACTTTCCTGGACCCAGGTACCCTGTGTTGAGATTACTTTGGTAGTTTTACCTCATGAGGCTTTCATAGTCGTATTCTATTGGCTCACATCAAGTGTGTGAGTGAAGTTATCGAGGGGATCAAGTGTCGATCTATACTCATTATGTTGATGAGGTTTAACACAGATACTTCGAGAGTTTGGACAAGAATTTTCACTGCTATGGTGCCTATATGAGTCCCGTTTAGAGCTCCATATGTGCTGAGGATCCATTCTACGTTGCATTCCCAAGTTATGTGCATTGCTAGGCATGTTACTTTTAGTTAGGGAAGGGTTATTCTTACTCACATGCTGCATGACTTTTTTGGAATATGCTTTGTTACCCATGCACTGTCAATTTTTAGAGTGACATGCTGCTTATTAGTCTTGTTACGAGCGAGGTGTGTCGAAGTCTGGAGTGGGACTCTGGGCTTTGTGGTCTTTCTCACAGTTTTTACTGGGGGACTCTCTGGCTTGGATCCAGAATGAGTGTGGTCTGCCAGTGGTTTCTGGTCAGCCATAGTTTGTGCGTCAATGTCAACCTCATGTAGGTCGGCAGGTTTTCTAGATGTGCTCCCATGTACTTTAAGATTGCACCCAGTGAACCTGCTCTTACTGTGTTTCGGGTCTTTGTTTGCTTTGAATACAAGAACAAAAAGTTCAGCGAATTCATTCACTTAGCTGAATAATTGCATTACATTACAAATGCATTTTGTCCGTGTGTGTACATTAGGGTTGTCAAACAAAAGTGTTTACGGTTACATTTCACTCCACCAAAAATGCTTCAAAAATGTGATGAATAATCAAATTGTAACTAGGGTGGATGAAGATTGGTAAGCACCGACATAGGTCGCCTAATATGAAACAAGATGTTAGTGAAAGAGCATGGAGGCACGCGCCTAAAATTATATCATAGGTAGAAAGAATAAATAAAGGGTTTGTTAAGAAAAGATGTTACTGAGAAGTCATGCAAAAGTTAATATACGGCATTTTTAACAAAGTAGCAGAATCCGAATTATACCCAGTGTGCGAAGAGGGGTTGAGATGTCCCTTCTGTGTACATAAATCAAGAATTTCTCTCCGGATCACTAAGGCCTCGGCAATGCAAAGTATACGGCAGCAAACCATTTTCGGGAGGCTTCTTTTTGATTTGTAGATGGCTTTGAATGAATTCCCTTTACATATTGAGTGAACAGTGTTGAATACATTTTCAATCATATCACTCCTTAATGATCCACTTTTACCTTCACTTGGCCAAGCGGGATAATGCCCCTTTATTCTTTTAGATGAAACACGCATCGAATAACCCATAAATCTCGCTCCACATGAACAAGCAAATTGGCTTTGCTCATTCATTCGACTCTGTTCAACTCAGCATCCTTCCTTACAGAATAGGCCAGACTTGTACTGAACGCCTGTCCCTCTTGACGTTTGTGAATTATCTTGATAGAATGGGGTTTTGCACGACAGCATTGTAGTAAAACAGACCATCAAACAGGAGCAAAAAATTAGACTTGGTTAATAATGCCTCGTAAAAGTAATAGCAGAAAGAAGATGCTGGATACAGCAAGTAACTAGGGAGAGTTGCTATACTATGAGAAACGTACTGTAGGAATAAGTAAGGATTGTACATACATGTGAAAGGTCTAGATCTAAATCTTGCGTTTTTTGTCCTACTCTCCGAGGGGTCTGATTAGAAAATAAGGGATAAAATCCTGCAATAGATAATGTAGGCCCTTAGGTAGCTATTCAGAGTAGAATTAGTACTAATGCCTTTCATTTTTGTCCGCTTTCTTAAGCTCACTATAGGACTCCAACACAAGATGTTCTCTTTTCTGTCTGCTCATTAAAACCATGCTGATAACTATTATCCAAAGACAGGATCCATATACGCAGCCATCATGTGTCTGAAGCTAAATGATTCATGTCCGTTTCTTCGAGTAATGTAGGCATTTGATAGCTCCAGTAACTTCCTAATAAATAAGCGTTTTCAGCACAAACCCCTGGAATTGACATGAATCATACTGGCAATATTTTAGTGTGTGTGTGTTTAACTTAATTGGAGTGATAAAAGTACTTTTGTAACCTTGATTTCCATGACGAAATCAGGTGGAAATTTAAAAATGCACAAAAACTGCTAAAATATTAATCGGTTTACGGTTTGCCATTTATTCTCTGGAATCACCAGCTTCATTTTAAAGAAGAATAGATGGATAATTCTCACTTGTATAATAAGACTACAAAGTTGTCTGAACTTTTGGATTTAGCCCTCGGAACACCAGATGTAATGATTGAGATATATATGATAACTTATTTTTAGCCAGGGTCCGTTAACTTTGGAATTCTTTATGTCATACTCTCCCACATTATACGGCACTTGAAGCTCAGTGATGAGGAGACAGTTGTAGAAAAATCTTCATATGAACGTCAACCAAATAATGATGTCAAATTGTCAGCTTATGATCTAACGCCAGGCTTTTTTCACAACGTTCAGGTCTGTTTGCATTCATTCAATTTTTTTATTAAAAAATTTGATTTTTGGGCTTAGCCTTGCAGCGAATACATCCTATAATTCTTTTGGTTTGAAGTGTCAGTATTATTTTAATAACTTTCCCTTTTTTCATATGAGAAAAAAATAGATCGTTTTTCGTATCATTATTTAGGAGCAACGACATGATAATTGTATTAATTGTGCCTTTAGAGAGTAATATTTTGGACAAATCTATGTCCTAGATTTAGACAAAAAAGGAAATCCAAGGTATCTTTGTTTGAGCTAATATAAAATTGTCATTCATAGGGTTTTATATCCTTGTTATTTTTTATTTTAATTACTATTCATTCTTATGCACCATTCCTCTATAATGTTGAGTATGACGTTGAATTTAAGTAGTCAGACAGTTAATTATATATAGTGATCTTCGAAACGCTCCACACATACCTCAGTATAAAATATACCGATGGTGGCTCATCTATCTATTTTATTCAGGAACAAAAAAGTGCAAATGGTTTATAAGCATTTAGTGTAAATAATACGAGTATTCAATTTTTTCGTATGAGGAATACTGTACCCGGTTCAAACGAAATATTGTCCCGAAAAATTCGAAGAAAAAACCTACATTTGTATAACTAATCGGTTCGTGATATGAAGAATTGTCGTAGGTTAAAAAAGTACATAAGTTGTGACTGATATGACAATCAAGGAGGCTGGAGAGTTAATATTCTTGTTCTCCTCAGAGAAGCTTATTCGATCAGTTAAGTCAAAGTGTGTTTACTCCTGTTTTTGAAACATCTCATATGACTTTATCAGAAGCGTGGTTAACAGACTCTTCAAAATTTTACTTGTCCAGATAGCCTCATTCATCATATTTCTAAAAATATAAATACACTGAAGCTAACTAGTTACTGAGGTTATTTTTTAAGAAAGGTGAAATATATTAAATAATGATTTTGAAGTATTAATTTCAAGAAAAAAACATTTTAGTTCACTGAAATTATTTCAACCATGAAAGCCAGCAGAGTAATGCTACTGAATGTTTCAGATGAGAGAACAATTCATGTAATATTGTATTGCAGATTTGTTTAACTGCCACTGGATATATGTGTATGATTGAACCTCATTCATACCTGGTGATGGGACTTTGTGCATGTTCGCTTAGTAACCTGAAGGTCCTAGTTTTAACACTCACTGGGGAGTTCGTGGCTGTGTATTGATTAGGAGTCTCACATTAAGACGAAACAGTTGTTTAGTACTGATTACTAGTTTCTGATGGTTCTCTAACTGATGTCAGCTCGTGCTCTAACATGGAACCAGTAGCACATCTGCAAAGGAAAACCTGAAAATTCATACGTCATCCATTTGAATTTATATTTCGCATAAAACCTGGTTCTCCTTCTTAATCTCAAATTATCTACCTACTAAAAGATATTGTTGTATCATGTCAGTTTGGCTTTTGCACTGATGTGTATTCTTCTTCTCTCTTTGATTCTAAGTCAGGTTTTTCACACTTCTTTAAAAATTTCGTCACTTACGAATAATTAATGGATGTCCAGTTGTATGTTTCTAATTTTTATGCTTTAAAAAATAAGCTGCATTACATGGTACATACAGGATTACTGAAGAAGGCCTTTGTAGAATATTTAGGTTATTGACGGAATTCAAAGCAACCTGTAAAGATAATAACGATTACGTCACAGTTGCACAGTAGAGGTATTCCTCAGCAACTGTACAATATCTTATTGTTCTGGCAAAAGTAGGATCTCTTAGGTCTTAAAAGAGTGATGAAATAAAGTCATCCCTTTATGGTTATTTCTTTAAGTAAGGAATTAACCCTCAGACAAATAAGTTAAGTTACAATAGACAAGTGGTCCTTTATAATACTTAAGTATATTCATGTTGAACTAATAGAGGTGAATAAATGCACTTATTTTTTGAGTGAATTTATCATCTGAGAAACATCAAAAGTCCATACTAATATACACTGAACTTTAATCTCATCAGTACTCATGTTCTTCTATAAGATTATTCTTTTATTTACTTTCTTTACATCTTTTTACCACTCAAATTCATTCTGGAAGGATGAATTTGACTAACATGGTTTATAACATTTTAGGCTTCAAAGTTTCGTGAAGACACGGTAAAACTCCGGAACAATAAAACCAAGGAAGCTGGATATACACTTCTCCCTTTCCTATAGCGGATGGCCATTTGTCTTCCATTTCAAAAGGTTCTGGAAGGTAGTTCCACGTGCTGGAGTCCAACGCTTGCTACACTTCTTGATGTGATGCAGGCATTGAAAGTCGTTGATCGAGAAGTATTATGGCAATGTCTAGCAGTACGCAGAAGGCCAGGGAAGTATATCGTAGTAAACCTAGTGTAACTTATGAAACTGTGTGAGTTTGAAGGGAGTCGTCTTATGAATTGAAAGGTTTTAGAGATGCACAGTGTTAACATTCCTATTTGATTTCATTGTGTTTGTATCAGCTGTGGTGAGAGTGGTCAATTTCTACATCTCACTGATTGAACTTTTACCAGAAAAGAGTTTTTTCAACCCACGGTACGAAGATAAGATAGTTTCTTTGAATGTAGGCACTGACAAAATACAGTTTTTAAACGTTCTGAGCCAGAGGTTGAGAATGCTTGGAATGCAATTCTCATTAGTTAAATTCTCCAGAACTTATCTGCATTGACTCCTTGTTTAAGGTGAGAATGTGAAATAAATGGATGTGCTGACCACTTCTTTGATTTGATAATTTGTATCAGCCCGGCTTCTGAGTAGATTTCATGGCAGGTACTAAGAGGTCGTTTAACGCCCATCAACTGACATCATCTTTGTCGAAGGTTTGATATCAAAGGATGTGTACTGTGAAGGACCTTGAACCTTCCTTTCCTAAAGCTGCGAGATTTGGCGTTCAGAAGCGGAATTTACGAGAAGATTACCTGTTTTTAACCCCAGTTGTTTGCGATCTATTTCACACTTAAAGTGGTTTAATGTGATCAGTAATGCTGAGGTTAGACGCAGAGTGTTAGGTAAGTAGGCAAAGTCCATGGGTGAAGTGATGAAGTCGCACCAGCTGAGATGGCTAAATGTGTGTAACACATAAAAAACCACCACCTTCCTTGAGGAGCGAATTGAGAATCAGACTAGAAACAAAATTAGGTTGAAAAGAGTGTGGGGAATGTTCAAATGAAAGATTCACTTACCTTCATTCGGAATTTTTATCCCTTCTCTAAGTTATTTTCATGGGTTTCACTGACATTTTAATTTTTGGTGCGTTATTTATCCTTATGCGCTATTTCAAATTTCGGTAACTTAAATTACTGGACTTCTCTATGAAGTAGTAAGTCAATGTATGAATTATCCTGTGTGGTTCGACTGGCCACCTCAGCACAACCAGTGTTATATGTTGCTCTTCAGTGTTACTGCTGACTGAATTCTCTTAATTAAGTTCGCAACTTGCTCATTAAACCAGGACTCACCACTGTAGTCCAGTTTGAAATTATATGAGGTGGTTGGGTCTTATGCTTGTTGGCAATTGTTGGAAAGGTATATCAAGAAATTCGAAGTCATGTCACTGAGTTCTTCAGTCAGGAACTTTACAGCTGAGCTAAGTAATTCGTCTGTAATGTTTTAGTTCAGGGGTCATATGCTCATCAGCCACGCACGTGATCCGGTGTTTGATTCCCGACCAACACACTGCTAAACCTGGCCAGGTGGAAAAGTTGAGCATTGGGCCAACAACCCCATGTCATAAGAAAACAACACAAATGCTACTGAAAATTTAAAGTTTAAAGCCTGAAACCTAATGTTCTCTTCGGAACGCGAAGCAATGGGAAAAATGACTCGCCGTATCCTAGATCTTCAGCGGTTGTTCATACCATTTCGGTGGTCATCAGAAGCTTTGAAAAACAAAGTCATGTAAATGAAAATCACTAGGGCACGAAGAACAGAAGAATTTAAGGGCGAAATAAAATGGAAAAGTAGTTTTGATTACTGCTTGATATTATTCGAATAATTTACCATTCATTGAAAATTTTTTTCTATTCCTTCACGTTCCTAGTGGAACATAAGGCTTCAGGCTAGAGGCTTGAAATTTCTGTAGCAGTGTTTAATTTTACATGCCCAACCTTTCCTCTTCACCAGCTTTAGTTCTGGCTTAGCGAGGTAAAGGAGTGCGCCGGCCGGGGATCGAACCCCGAACCATGTGCATGGTCAGCAGGCGCCCTAAGCGCTATGCCTTGCGACGCACAAAATAGCCGGCAACACCCGGTATTCCCAGCCGGTCACCCATGCAAGTACTAACCAGGCCCAACGTTGCTTAACTTCGGTGATCGGACGAGAACCGGTGCTTTCAACGTGGTATGGTCGCCGACAAAGCCGTGCCCCACTCATTGCTGAGGTAAAATACAATTTCTATCCTTCCGACTGAGTGGTTGAGAAACTCATTCAGTTGCTGAATAGATCATCAATATGCAGTAAAGCATATGTACACATCAGGTAAAATGACACGGATAGATGGGAGATGAATAATATAGCGAAGCAAAATAGATAGCATCAAAATATCTTTTTCACCAAGAGGTGCATAAAGTTTGTGATTGCTGACATGGCTGGGGGGCGTACATTGTCAAACTGGGGTATAAAGACTAAAAATAAATGGTTGGAAACTTTTAGCGACACATGGCCAGAAGCATATATCGTGGTTCAATGTCATTCAAAATGGTGAATGTTATCATTAAGTATCATTCAACTCATCCTCACTCTTACCGTACTCACTTTGGCCAAAATTTTGACTCATTGAGAAGCACTGACTGATTCAACATTCGTGTTGGAAATCTAAGTTCTACTTCTTGGGCCGTGTGAAGACGATTTCCAAACTAACTTCGGAATGATAAAGGTTTGTCTTGTCGTCTATGTGCAGTTTAAACGATGCCAGCTACTTGGATAATTGAAGGAAGTAACCTTTTTCAAATTTCTCCCGTTGGTTGTACCTGTTGAT